CGTGTCTAATGAAATAGCTTTAATAAGATATATAATTAATGGGTTAGTTTGGTGAAGTATGCCTTTATCTTTGGATATAGTGTTTATATACAAGTTATACAATTTAGAAAATACACCATGGTAATAAATTCACATTCAAATTATAGCATCAACAAACATCTTTCAGAAAATTAAAGTTGATTAGAAGAACTCAATAAGATCAATTTTATAAACAGATTTATTACTTGATCCTAATAACTAACTCCTAACCTACTTCCTGTTTCTTTCATTGGAAGATGTAACATTTGACCCTACTGTAGTTAGGTAAGCTCTTAGAATATTTGTCGCAGTATTCTAAAGTCCCTTCTGACCAAGGTATGTATTTCATCAATAGTTTGTGTGTGATCTTTGCTCATTGGCTGTATCCCTAATCAAGTAATTAGTAGATACTAATACATTTAGAAACTATCAAATCTTACTCTATTGCTTTTTTGTACGCTAAACATTATGGATGCACTCTTCCCATCATGTTTGTTTTTCCTATCAAGAAAATGCAATATAATTTAATATTAACCTGTAATTTAATTCAGAAGGGACTCTTTTAGAAAAAAAATCACATTCAAGCATCCTAAAGAAATAATTCAATTGGTAATAGAAGGAGCACAATTCTGAGTGTATAGAAATCTTTGGCCACTTATTTGATGTTATATGAGATAGCAGATAATAGATAGTCTTTGGAAAATTCAGATACTAAGCACACATAGGGTATTTGAATTATCTGTGTGACATTTCTTTCCATTAATATGACTGAAGTCTGGGGATTTAGTTCAGTGGTTCTGCTGCCTGCCTAGCAAGAACAGGGTCCGGAGCTGGATTCCCCAGTACCAAAAAGAAGAGAAAAAAAAAGAGAGAGAGAAGAGAAAGTTCATTAATATGACTGAAATTTGAATTTTATTTTTAAAATAATTTAACTTTATCCCATCTTCCCCCCCCAGCTCCCTTGAAATTTAAATTTTTAAAAAGGACATTGAAACCTTTTTGGGGGGTACTGGGGATTGAAAACAAGCCATTGACACTGAATAGCATCCTCAACTCTTTTATTATGGTTTGTTTTGAGAAAAGGTCTTGCATGTCTCTTAAATTGCCCAGGATGGGCTAGAATTTGTGATCCTCCTGCTTTAGTCCACTAGAGTGCTGAGGTTACAAGCATGCACCACCCTGCTGGGCTATTTTTAAACCTTTTAATCATCTTGGTATACTGTTCTCAAAATGCTTTTAACAAAAGCTTCTTTGTAGTGAATCTCTAATTGAATTGGATGGATTTCTGATTTTTAAATTTGAAGGTTAAAGTGTTATCCATTATTAAATCTTAATGCCTTCCAGTATTGCTAAGTTAATTTTTATTTCTGACAAATAAAATGCATATTTTAAATTAAGCCTTGTCTTTTACTGAATGTATTGTTGACATTTATTTCATATATATATATATAGATAGATAGATAGATATGTCCATCCCTCAAACCCCAGTACTGGAGATTGAACCTAGGCCTTTGCACTGAGCTACATCCCCAACCCTTTTTATTTTTTTGTTTTGAGACAGGTCTCAATAGCTAAATTGCCAGGGTTGTGCTCAAACTTGCCATCTTCCTGTCTCAGCCTCCCAGAGTTCTGGAATTATAGGAATGCACTACCATGTCCAGCAAAATGTATTATATAAAGTGTTAGGTATTAGTATTTACTGAAATATTGAAAGGATTAGTATTTATTGAATACCTACTATGTTCTGGGAATCGTACTGTTTTATACAAACTATATTATTTAACCCTTCCACTCCATTTTTTTCCCCCTATTTTTCTTTTGTGATGCTGGGGATCTAACCTAGGGTTTGTACAGGTGACTCAAGCCCTCTACCAAGGAACTACAACCCCAACCCTAATTTAACAACTTAATGAATAGTTTTAGTTTCCTTAATTTCAAGTTGGAGAAAAGAGAACTTAGAAAGTTAAATAATTCACAATTATAGTTTGTGGCAAAGTCAATAAACCCATGGGAGCTTGGCTGAAAAGGCCACATGCTTTTCAGTGTACTTTCCTTTCTCTTTCATTGTAAAAGTAAAACAATTAGAAGTGATTATTTTTCAGAGTCCACTTGGACTGGACTAAAATTACTAAATTTAAAAGCATCATTCAGGTAGGATTTTACCTGTAAAAAAATAGGATTAGGAAAATTAACATTTAGTAACAGGAATCAGAATTGACATTTTTGAGCCTCTAGTTCCCAAACTTTCTAGTTCTAGCTCCTAAGAATTCCTCAAATTACAAATGTTTAAGGAATTTGTTGAGCACCTGTGTACAAAGCTCTTTTAAAGAGATTGCCCCTTAAATAACAAATTTTGTCACTTCTAAGATGAGTTTTGAGTTTTACACTTCTGGTCTTTAATAACCATACTGAAATTTTCCTGTCAGCTCATGCCAAATTTCAGAGTTCTAAATTCTTAGGTAATCCTAATAACACGTGACTATAACAAAAAATCACCATACTTATCAAGAAAAAGTTGAACTGCTTAAAGCAATATGAAGTTAGAAAATGATAGGAAGGTCTCATTAGTTTGAGCCAAAATTGTATGACCACATTAAGAGATTAAGTTTTGAGGTGACAATCACCTTTATTACCAATGGCATAATTTCAGTTACCTATGAATTCACAATACCCAAAATGCCTGGTGGCAGTAATGATATAGATTAAAATATAACAGTAAATAATTTTGTAGTTCACCAATTATTTATTAATATACCTATATAATAAAGTTTTACCTATTTACAAATGCTGTAGAAAGTGATTTCATGTAGTAGTCAGAACAGTCATTGCAGGTTAGTGAAAAAATTACTAGTCTGGGCTGCTATCGAAGAAATCTGGATGTTCTTGTCCCAACACTACCCTTGGATTATACAGTAGTGATTGTTATATTTTTGGGCTTTTCATTTTCCAACTCAAAAGTGAAGCATTAAGTTCACTAGTTATGTAAAGAGTCCCTCTACCAAAAAAAAAAAAAAGTCATGATTCTTAGTGGTTTTCATGTATGTAGGAAGGAAGGAGTTGTTATGAAAGTTAGTGTTGACAAAAACAGTTGTGTGTCTAGGAATAGTGAGAAAAAAATGCATCCTAATTTGGTTAATAAATTCATATATCCTGAATTTTAATAAAAAATATCAATATTTTAAAGGAATCTACTTAACAAAAATACATAAAAATCATTTTAACAGAACAATATAATTTGAAATGAAAATCCCATTAAATGAAAACTGAAGAATCCTCTCCCAAAATGTGGAATAAACTTAAATAGATTTAAGTGAAATAGATGTTTGGCTCTAAGTTGTTTCCCCAAAACAATGAATATTAAAAAAGCCTCAATAAATTAAGCTTATCTTTAAACAATAAGTTCTGTGCCTTAAATACAGTATGTTTAAAATTCAGTTACTATATATAATATCAAAAGAAACATTAACAATGTGCTCAGTAGGTAGCTGTCTTATCTGAAAACAAAATGAGAAAAATTCAACCTATTGAAAGTTTTATCCATATTGCCAAAAGCTTGTTAGGAAACAATGTATGCTGAATAAAATTAATTTTGGGTTGCTGAATCAACACGTTCCCTTTTCAGATGCTTAAGTTTTACAGAAGTTAAACTGATTTTCAGAAGTTTATACAGAACTGCCTAGAAGTAGGACTAAGGAGCATCCAAAGGTTTCTTCTGCAACAAATGAAATCTCATCTGAACATTCATTTCCATTTTTTTCTTTATTAACTTCCTAAAGAAACTTAATACAGCCTTTGAGTTTGAACAGAGTGACAAAGTGGGGTCACTAGAGACAATGAAAAGCATTATTTTTGCTTATTTCAAGGCAAAGATCTATCAAGATGATCTACAGATAGTTAACAGAAAACTATTCAGTATAAATCTTTTAAAAAATGTAATTCCCAGATAAATGCATTTATGTCAGCTGTTACATTAAATATCCCAGAATGTGTACATTTAATTTATTCTAATATTGATAAGTGATGGGGTAATTTGATGTGCCAAAATAGATCTAAAGAGATTGGTAATTTTCATTTTAAATGACACAAACTGCTATAATAAATTAACTGCATCAATGAAGGAGAGGTAAAATAAATATTTAAAAATACATGAAGATCTAAGTGTTAAATTTTTCAGACCTAATAGGCATGACAAAACCTGTCTTCATTCCTTTCTATTCAGCTCAGCCAGTGCTTTTGAACTCTAATAGTTAATCAGTTACCAGATTCCACAATCTTTGTTTTTCACACTCCTTAATTCTTGCTGTGAATTGTTCCTGTAATGTACTTAGGATCACCAAGCAGGCCAATCCTTTTTTCTTTTGCCTTAAAAAGGCAATTATTCTTTTATCCACAATTAAATTGAGCATATAAAATTGTTACCATATAGCAACAGCCTGTAAAACATAATAGTATATTATCAAAAAAATAGAAGGCTTAAGGTGAATCGGTAATATGTGAAATATATTTAGCAAAATTATTTAGTGCAAATACTCATAACCAATTTACAAAAAAGTATAACAGAAGTGTACTGTATACCAGATAGCTTTATCCAAGCAAATCAATAAACATACATGCAATTTTTATAAAACAACATCTAATCGGCTTATAGGAAATGAATAATGCAGGTATTGCCAGGTTAAAAATAGCTATCCTCTCAAACATCATTAGCCTTCAAAAATGCATAGAAATTTTAGAAAGATATAAAATAATATGAACTTACCCTTCAGTTTATTTAGGAAACCTCTGCTCTTGGTCAAAAGACAGTGTTTCACTCCTCACTTTCCCTGAAGCTGTGAATATGTTAAACCAGTGGATATCACCTCGCTGGACCACACTAGGGTTTGCTAGACACTACTGCTATGTGGAAGAGTTCTGCTGCATCTAAGCTATATACTGTGCGCAATGGATAACTTAATATGCCTTTCATTTAACTGGCTGGGCAGGTTTCTACCGTCTGTGGAACATGGAATCAAACCAGAATATGTTGGCATAACAGGCCAGTCAAACCGGTTCTTCTGTAGATCCAGAACCCGTCCGACCAGTCTCCATCAAAGGCTACCCTAACATGCTGCAGCGGCTCAGCTCTGCTAAGCTTGTACTGGGTGAGTTATCCTCACCTCCCATAAACTCCCAACAAACTACTCAGAATGTTGTAGCCTCCAGCAAAATAATTCAGCGTTCTAGTGGGAGGAGTAGATTGGTGTCAGGTTTAGCAGGAGTCCATTGTTATAAGCTCTCCTGGGAGATACATATAAGTAGTGGCCTGTTATTCTCAGAGGTAATACTTTTTAAGATGTATTTTAGACTCTGTTGACTAAAGCCTCTAGAAATAGATTATCTACAATGAAGAAGGATCCCATAATGCGTGACCTTTTCCCCTAGTCCATTTGGTTTTGCTTGTTACAACTTGAGGAGAGAGATTAATATTCCCCACAAGGATAGTTGTCATGAGAGATAGAAGGAAGTGCTTCTAGAGGGAGAGAAACAAGGTACAGGTTGACCAAATATCACCTGGGTGTGTTATCTCCTTTGTTCTCAAGTGATCCCATATCATTCCAGTCTAACATTGGAAAAGCTACTTCTACATAACTAGTGACAAATTAGAGATGTCACTAACTCGGACAGTCAACAGGTCAACAAAAATTACTGTATCTACTATGTTCCAGGAATGTTGCTAAGTAGAGAGTTCACAAGGGTTTTGAAAAAGATGAATTTAGTGAGAGATGAGAGCAATATCAGAGTTTCCAGTTAAGCACATATACTAAAGTTTTGTGAGGAAGAAATGAGCAATGCAAGATTACATTTGGATAGAAATTGGCTTATACTAAGGGCAATCAATTGAGCTGTATTCTTATGCTCTCATAATTCTTGCACATTTAGAGTCAATCTTTCCTATCTCCATTAGTAGATAGGAAACTGCTTCTTAAGAATCATCTGAAGTGTGAATTATTAAAAGACTGTTTTGGCCTCCCTTTTAGAGATTGTGATTCAAAGGTCCTGGGATGTTACCCAAACACTTCTAGTTATTCTCATACACTTATTGCAGGGACTACAGGCCCAGACTCCATGCTCAGTTTTTTTTCCTCCTTTCTATTCTTTCTATAGCTAACTGATGGAGCGCATGTGAACCAAAAGCTACTGTGTTCATTTTTGGATCTTGAGGATCAAGAATGCTGACTGACACTTAGAAAGTACTTAGTAAAATGTTTGTTCAGTAAGTATCTACTTAGAGTCAGCAACTTACTAGATCCCTGGGGAACCACAACTGATAACTATTATGTGAATTAAATGGTATTAAATACTATAATTATGAGGTAAAAGCCCAGAAAAGAAGCATGTATGACTATAATATGGGGGAAACATCACACAAAGACTTTTTTTTTACTCTGACCAAAGATTGCTATCTGCAGGATAACAAAAAGTTGGAAGTAAAACAAAATACATGTCTTTGATTTGATAGAGTAATAAAATGTTAAGTATCTGAGAACACCATTACTCAAAAGTTGGCAATTATGTTATTTTCTGCAGTAAAGTTCAGCACATTTTGATGTACAGATTTTACTATTTTAGAATATGAGAGCCAGATTGTCTTTGTTTTAGCTATTCAGTTATGTGAATTATAGCACAAAGGCAAATGTAAACAACAGTCATTGAATGAAGGTGACCATGTCCTAATAAAACTTTATAAAATAGTTGTAGGCCAGATTTGATAGTGGGCTACTATTTATTGAACCATAACAAGATTGCATAATTGATTACAAAAATGGTCCTTGGAGTGAAAAAGACAAGCGCTCTGTCTCAGTTCTGTTCCATATTAGCATTGCCACCTGAATCAAACATCAATTTTATTTATAAAACAGGGATTAAAACAATAGTTCTTATCCCTTAGAGTTTGTATGATTCACACAGTGCAAGAATTACATAAAGGTTTAACTGAAAATGTAGTATATAGTAAGGCTCTATAAAACATCAGCTGAAAGAAAGTATGGTTAAACATGGTAGTCCAGCAAGAGAATTCATTTTCATTATTCTTGAAATCTTAGAAAAATGACAGAGAAGAGTCAAAACAGAATAGATCTTAAGTACGAAAAGAATGAGAGTGAATAGCCGAGATGTCATAAAGTTTTTGAAGAAAGAATGAGCAGCGAATAGAGGAAGAAGTGTAATTACAGTATTTGCCATAACAAAAAGCAAATCAATCTCTGCTGCAAAATGTTGGAAAACTTCAGGAATCAGAGGACCAAGTAACCTCTAAATAGTCTTGGGGAATGAGATGGAGTGGGAGTTGGAATAGGAGAGCTGGTTGGTTTCTTCCCTAAGGAAACATGGAAACTACCCTTCCTTCAATCTCAACAGAAGATGAGTAGGACTTGTTGATTAATAGCATAAGAGATCGTTCCAGATTGGTCCTAGATTTGGAAATACTGAGCAGAGCTGAGGGTAGATAGGAGTTTCACACTGAACTCTAAGAGACTGTATTATTTTCCTATCTCCTCTATAAGAAATTACTTCAGACTTAGTGGTTTAAGGAAATAGATTTATTGTCTTATAATTCTGGGGATTAGAGGTCCAGAATGGGTCCATTGGACTGTAAAATCAGGGTATCAGCAAGGCTGTATGTTCTGGTTAGATAGCAAATGTCCCCCAAAACCTCATGAATGCATAGGTGGGCTTTTGGAAGGTATTGGATTATAGGGTCCTACAGATGATTTGCTCTTAGGAGGTGGGGTCTGGTTAGAAGAGGTTGGTCCTTGGGTTGTGGCCTGAATGTTGCTTGGAATGTGGCTCTTTCCCATTCCTCCCTTCATTCTGTTTCTGCTTCCCTGTGGCCATGCACTTCTGTTCTGCCACATTGTTCCTTGGAGCCAGCTGATGGTGGACTGAAATCTGTACAGACTGTGAGCCAAAATAAACCTTTTCTCTCTTAATTGACAGGTTTTGGGTATTGTGTTTCAGCAATAAGAAAGTAACTAAGACACTGGGCTACTATTTGGAGGCTCTGGGGAGAAAATCTCTGGAGATCTTTTCTTTGCTTTTTCCCTTTATGCAGCTTCTAATAGATGCCTGCATTGCTTGGCCCATAGTTCTCTTCTATCTTCAGCACCAACAATGGGTAGTTAAGTCTTTTCCACATGCCATTATTCTGACTCTTTATTTGTTGCACCCCTCATCCAGCTGGATAACCTAAGATAATCTCTTTCTTTAAGGTCAATTTATTAGCTAACTGAATTCTATCTACTATCTAAATTCTCCTTTGCTACATAACATTAGGATATGTGAACATCTTTGAAAGGTTGTTATTCTGCCTACCATAGAGACTAAGTCAAAGTTTGTCTTTGTTGCTGGTGAGATACCCAGGTCCATTCCTCTGCTTGGCTTCCAAATACTACTAACCAGTTTTGAATTCTTTACTTATAAAGCAGGAAGCTCAGAGAGAAATTCTGAAGACCCTGAGCACCCTAATGTAATGATTATGCACTAGGGCTGATTTTATACCTGCAGGGATTTTTGACAACATCTACAGAAATTTTTTATTGTAACATCTAGGAAGGTGGATAAAAGTATGCTACTGATTGGCATTTGTTAAGTAGGGGTCAGGGATGCTACTAAATGTCTTACAAAATATGTACACAGGCAGCTCATCTCCACAATTCCAACAAATAATTATCTAGTCCAAAATGTCAGTAGTGCCAAGGTAAGGAAATCCTACCATTAAATCTACCAGTCATTAAAACAAAAATCTACCAGTCATTATCACCCTAACATAAATCAATAAATCTTATCTAGAGGTACAGAATTACAAATCAGCATTTTAAAACTGATTAGAGAGCATTTAACTTGAAAAAAAAATGAAACCAACAGTTGAAAAGAACTTAGAAGAAACAGGCAATGCAGGAAGCCAAGTAATATTTTATTTTTGCATTACTGCAAAATGTAGATTGAATGTATGCTTGCTAGGCAAGTACTTCCCCACCGAGCTACATTCTCAGCTCTTTTTATTTTATTTGGAGACAGGGTCTTGCTAAGTTGCCCAGGCAGACCTCAAACACGCAGTCTTTCTGCCTCAGCCTCCAACCAGCTGGGATGACCAGCTAAGATAACCAGCTGGGATGAGCAGCCAGAATGATAGGCCTGTGGCACTAAGCTCAGTTCAGCATAATATTTTAACTTCACTACATTACTGTCTTCAAAGAAATGAGTAGTTTCTGATTATACAGAAGAATAGAAAATCTAAGAATGGAACTTTTGGAGACTGAAGAAGAAATATTGGAAAGTAAAAGTATAAAGACAGAAATAAAGTAGGACTCAGAGCTGTGGAGTAAAAGTATGAGAACAGAAATAAAGTGAGAAGGAGTTGAACAATAAAGTCGATGATATTTCAGGAAGTAAAACAGAAAAGAAAAAGAAGGGAAGTAAACCAGGTGTAAAAATCACATTCTTGTAGTTCCATATATTATGGGAACTGAGGCCAAAGGATCACTTTAATCCAGGAATTAGAGGCCAGTCTGGGCAACATAGCAAGACTTTGTCTTTAATAAAAAGGAAATAGAAAGGAAATAAAATAGGAATATAAATAGGAATAAAATAAAATAGGAAAATAGCATAAAAATAAAAAGGAAAATAGAAGATAAACCATTATTTAAAATAGAAGAATGAATCCAAGATATCCAACATTTGATTTTAAGAGAAGAGATAAAATGGAAAATAATCAAATAGTTCTGAAGTTTTCCTCACAAAGGATCCCAGTTTCTGACTGAAAGGGTAAAACAGGTGTCTATCAAATAAATGAAGAGAGGCTGTTATCAAGTTGTATTATTGTGGACTTCCAGAACACCAGAGATAAAAGATCTAAAAATTTCTGGAGAAAGGAGATGCACACATACACACACACACACACACGCACGCACGCACGCACACACGCAGAAATTGGTCACTAGAAGGGATCAGGAATCAGAATTGCATGAGACTTACTAATATCAACACAGGAAATTAGCCTTTAAACTTCTAGAAGAATATTATTTACAAACAAAAATTCTGTATTTATTCAACTTTGCCATGAGTTATGAGAGTAGAGGCAATACAGCATTTGACAGAAAGGCCCTGAAACTCTTATATCTTCATCTCTTCTTAAGAAACTACTGGAAGATGTGCTTTAAAATAAAAACCAAATATATATATATAAAACAAACTAGCACTAAAATGGGCACCTGCAGTGTCAGGGGTGGAAGGATGAAAGTAATTGTCTGTGTGCTGGAGAGAGAGAATCCAATCAAAAGTTGAAGGCCTGGAGCTCCTCACTGCAGGGTCTGATGTGTAATTCATATCAGAAAGCTGAAGAGTCTGCACTGGAAGTCTGAAGGAACTGGAGACACATCCAGAGGCAGTGGTGAAGACTGGAGCTCCACTGCAGAAGCGTAAGGGCAGACTTTCTTCTTTCCATAAGAATTGTTCAGGTTACAAGCCTGTTGGTTGGTGCAAGCCACATCTATAGGGGTCTTCTCTGTACAGTTTCTGGCTTATAAGTTGATCATACATGCATACCCACAACTCTGCTCCACTAATCTGTTAGGAGTTTTTCCATTCAGGTTGCCACCACAATTAACTATCACAGATAATAAACTTGTAATAATGACAAGAAAAAAAGTCTGTTCTGAATTAGAATTATATTTCTAGTTTATAAGTCAAACCAAAAAACATCAGTTAAGCTGCTTTCTACGAGATAGTTCAGTTGAGCTACCCCAGAGATTTGGAAATCTTTTCTAATTGATGCAAAGTTAATAGAAAATAGAGTTAATGTTCATGGATCATAAACGAGGGAGGCAAAATGGTACAAGCACAAACTTGCACCTAAAGGAAGAGTATGCACAAACATTTATATCTGCCAATTTTTATAAGACTTGCAACACTGCCCAATAGCTAGTAAAACCTGATCACTATAAAATTCAGAGTATTTTTAATCGGAATAAGCCCAAATCAAGAAACTTGATTCTGAGCTTGACTCAATTACTCTTAGGTTATATGTACATGGATTAGTTATTTATTTAATATGCTGAGCCTCAGATGCTTCATTTATTAAATGAGAGGAATTTGGCATATTCTAAGTATCTGTTTAGTTTAAAATGTCTATTGTAAGTTTGTGGCAAAGGAACTATTAAAAAATATGGGAGGAAAAACAAAATAGATTAGTTAGAGAGATGTTCTTCAGTAGAGTAATTTTAAAAAATGCAAACTGATTTTGGTTGAATTTTCCACAAGCTGATGCTGATGCTGAAATATGGTGCAGGTGCAAGTGACTTATTAGAAATGTGCTCCCCTGTGATCCTGTAGGCCACTGCAGATAGCAGGGCCAGAGAGGAGAGTAAGAAAAGTGAGTATATGATTTTGACATCGGTTTGGTTGCAGAGAACTCCACAGTGTACTTTATAATGAAATAGTTTATTTTCTCTGGAGGTAAAGGAACCTGGCTTTCATACTTTTTAAACAATTACTGGCTAATTGGCTAACAAAAGACATGAAAACTTTCAGGCACTCTTGGTTCTTGGCATCTCTGCATGAAGTTGCTCCAGAAACCCAAGACTAGTCCTTAGACATTGCTGGCTCTGTAATGTTAAGAGTAAAGCACTCAGACTTCTGCT